AGGCGAATGTATCGTTTCGTTTCATGTCGTAAATTGGTCGTCGTTTTAGTTGTGTAGTCCCGTATTATGGCGCCGCTGTCTCACTGTTTATGTTCCTGGTTATAGCTAGTTTATATATATTTCGTTTATATTGTTGTCATTGTTTATATTAAGTGTCTTTTTATAATATTCTGTTGCATGTTTCGTCGTGTTTGGTTTGTTATCCGTGAATTAGGGACTATTTGTTTACGTGTAGTGTGTGAGGTGTGTGGAAGTCGGTTTCCGGCTTGTTCAACTCTGTCTTTTGTGTGGAAAGCAGCGGTGAAGAGAGCAGGCAGTCTCTCTGGTCATCGAGTGAAAAGAATAGCAAATTCGCACCATCCAGCCGTATTTATTTTGTGTTTGTGTTCGTCATAGTCCTGGACGTAGTCCGAAATTGGGTGTTTTGTTTGATGTAAAAAGTTTGTTTCGTTTGGTTCTGTTTTGTGTCAGTTTTTATCATTTTTTTATAACTTTTGGTTCCATGCAATAAATTTTATTAAATTGTTAAAAGTTTTTGTTTTATTTTAGTAGCTTATTATTTAGACTAAGGTTAGGGTTTAACCACTGTGGGTTCTACCACGGTTGCACTGACCGGACAGATTAGTTAGTTAAGCCTAGAAGGGTAGATTGTAGGTATCCCCCCCTAGCAGGGCTTACAAATATATATATAGACGCAATAACAGTACTAGAACACAGCAAACAGATAAAAGTACTTATAACATTACTTACCTATAATCGTAGTTCAAGTCTTCTTGGACTCTTGGCTAATTCATCAAGAACCTCATCCGCTAAAATTTCAATTTGTCGGTGAATATTTAATAATGCCAATCCATTTAGTCTATCCTAGCAAGTAGTATTTCGCAAGTACGTTTTTAGCCGTCTGAGAGTGGAAAAAGAGCGTTCGCTAACGGCAGTTGTTACAGGCAATGTTACAAATATTTGCAGTAGTTTGTGTACTGTTGGAAATATTTTTACGTCACACATTAAAAAAGCTTGATGAGCGTTTTGCGGTACATTTCCACTTGTAATAATGTGGCGCCACCACAGTTTCAGTTCTCCAATGCTTTCATCGATGACACTGCTGTTAATCAAACGTTCATATTTTTGCATAAGTATTATGGCATTCTTTTCCTGTTCTTTGGTAAAACCCGAGTCATTGGGTAAAAGACACATAAAACCTCTCAAAACAGATTTATGTTTTAGCAATCTGTCTCCTATTTGACATATAACCGAATCAAGGAAAGGAATAAATACAGCTATTCTGTAATACTCTTCAGGCGTATTTGCCATAACATTGCAGCGTTGAATTTGTTTTCCAGCTCGACGTGGAATAAGTATATCTATGTCGAAGTCCTCACAAATGTCTTTGACTTCATTAAATACGGTAGTAAATTCTGATTCAGCATCCTTCCGCATATTCACTAGTAGGCTACTTGAATCTTCTGTAAATTTTAGAGCCGCAGATAGATCAAGGTTTTCTGTTTGGAGTATTCTGCTGACAGGAAGTGTTATTGCAAAGATTTTTGAGATAACTCTAAGAGAAACTTGAAACTCAAGACTCCTAATTGCTCCTAAAAGTTGAACCGCTGTTGAAGAAGTTGTTGTATCGTGCCAGGATGACATAATTTCCAGTGCATCAACAGTTGCTTTTTGAAGCTGTATAAAAACGTTGACAGACTCATGACGCTCAATCCATCTGGTTGCGCACAATCGTTTAAGTCGAGATGCTGATGCTTTAGGTGTTAATTTCTCTATTGAATTTGCAAGCAAAGATTGTCGTTTTGGTGTGTTAAAAAAAGTTGTATGTACTATTAAGAATTCCCATACAGTTTCTCACAGCTGGTAGTTCGCAGGCATCAGAAAGTGCTAGGTTTAGACTGTGAGATGCGCAATGCACGTAAATAGCCAAATCAAATTTCTCAGCAACATATTGTTGCGCCCCATGAAGTCGACCACTCATTGCAGCGGCTCCATCATATCCTTGACCTATCATAAAATTACCGTCTATGTGTAAATTTGCTAGAGTGTCCATTAAAACATTTGCAAGTCATTTGCCTGTTAGATCAGTTACACCTACAAACTGTAGGAAATCCTCCCTTATTTTCTTTATGTCGTTATCATAGTAGCGAACACACAACGAAAATTGCTCCATACCAGCTATATCACTAGTTTCATCGGCTAAGACAGAAAACAATTTAACAGAAGTAATTTTCGCAACAATCTTTTGAACAATTAATTTATTGCACACATTTATCACTTCATTCTGAATGGTGGGACTTAAGTATCTTGCATTTTTTGAAGAATTTTCTAGATGATGTTTAAGTGTTTCGTCTCCACCCATGGCTTTGTATCTTAAAAGAGCTCGAAAATTTCCATCATTTTCGTCAGGATCCTCCAACTGAAAATTTCCGAAATCCCTGTGCCCCCTAAGTGCAAGACCTTGTCGGCCGCAAAAAATTATAGTTTCTATTATGGGCGCTAACCTTAAACGATTTTCTAGAATTTGTTGACTTACTGATGAGTTCAAGGCGATGTTAATAGGTTCTATTTTTTTCTCCATAACCGATTTACGATTTTGGGAAAGTAAAATTGCTCTTTTATGATATTCACATTGCTGGTGCTCATTAAACTTGTCTGTTGCCTTTTTCCAGTTTGAAAATGGAGTTTTTGATAACTTACCTAAAGGCTGACTACCTACACCACCATAATTCAAACTAAACAAAACACAATATTTGCAAAATGCGCCATCAAGTAATTTGGAATAAGTCAACCAGTTCCACCTAAGTAGCCACGAATATTGAAACTTTAAATTTCTTTGTCCGCTTGCTGGAAATTTAAAAAGTTCTTCGGGACGCCAGATGTTTTCTAATAAATACAACCGTGTATCATCTGTAATAACTCCTTTGATAAAATTGCCGACATCATTTGCATAAGAAACAGTCAAAGGTGCTGAATTTATGGAAATTTCTTGATGTAATGTAGTTTGAGAGTCAATAGTACCATCTTCATTTTTATCATTTTCAGTTTTATTTTTCTTTGTAAAGAAATCAGTTAATAAAGTAGTTTTAAATTTCCTTTTTCCATCCGACATCATTAAAATGAATTTAAATTGCTTTAATTATCAAAAAGATACACATTAAAACACGACTATGCGAATAAGAAAATAAATAATTATTGGTCTTTCTTTTCTGACTGTCTAAAAATGACTACTGTAGGTTCCTGGCTCTACATCTATATTTAACCACCTACGCAGTTTTTATATCTACCAACACTAAGTTTTGTGTCAACAATTGTGGGTCCAGCCCACGCTTTCCTGCCAGATGTGCATCCGGTAGTAATTGAGACGTACCCATATTCAAACCCACCCTCACCCCCCCCCCCCTGTCACACCCTTTAACTGATAACCTTGTGTCCTCTGCCATCTTTATCATTTTCAGTTTACTTATCTTTTTAAAAATTAAATAGTTTTCAGTTTCCCTGTTTCATCCGCCATTAGTGAAATGAATTTCAAATGTTTTGAAGTAGTAAAAACATACACATTATAGAACCTCAATGCGAATAATAATCAATTCCTTCGTTGTTGTTTTTTTTTAATTTCTAGGCGCTTTCCGGTTGCACTACAATCATATTAGACAACAAAGGCCTACCCACGTAGCCCACCCCTCCCCATTCGACACTCCTTAACTGATCTAACCTTGGCCAACTTTCCCTTGGCCTACTGCGTTCCAGATTATTATACTTAACTTTAGCACGATAATAAAATTCATAACTAAATTCTACAGGCAATTCTCATCACAATGATATACATTGTTGTTCTAGAGGCTGCCAGGTTAAGTGTTTAGTGTTTAAGCCCTAAATAATATCGACACAAGTCAATAGCTGTAGCTTAACGTAAAAAGATAGTCATATTGGGGGTACATGGGGGGGTTATAACCCCCCCCCTAACCCCCCTCTGCCTACGCCACTGTTCATATATAAGTATTTTATCAAAATTGTAGATCCTGATAAACTTTTGAGCGATTTCCAATAACCGGAAGTGGTACTTTTTCTACTTTGAATTTTTCAAAAGCCTATAAGTTACGTACTTTTTTAGATAGATGAATGAAATTTCACACGTAAGTAAAAGATCGAATTCTCTACCTTCTGTCAAATTTTGAGTAATTTCCGTTGAACAAAAGTACTAATTTACGCTTTTTGTGATTTCTCAAAAAACGCATGTAAATTTATAAAGTACAAATAATATCCTGCACTTTTATACACATTTTATTAGGCGTTCAATTGGTGTGGGACGGAGTGGTCTATCGGTAGAGAGCTGGACTGCTAACCCGTTAGTCTCGAGTTCGAATCCGAGTTCAAGTCAATAGACCGTCCTTGAGTCCATCCACTCTGATGGGAAAGTAAAGGCGGCTGGGCATAGTGCTGACTACAATATCTCTTCATATGCCGAGGTCACAGAAACAAGTGAACTCTACTTCACTTGCCCCATAGACCGTCAGGTTTGAAAGGGAAACTTTTCACTTGGTGTGCAATTATCTTTTTTTACGAGATTCTATTCTATTATAAAAAGTTTAAGTAATTAAAAATGGATCTATGTCCTGAGTTGCCATCCCTCGTAATTTTATATTAGAATATTCGAGAAAGTTTAGGGGAGACCACTCCCGGTTTATTTAAAGAAGAATTCAACAGTAATTTCGGGGGGGGGGATTCGTTGTAAGGTGAGGTGTGACGTCATTTTAGATGGGAGGTGTCTGGGTTTTTGTGACGACGTGTGACTGAGGGGATTGGGGGTGGGGGGAGGTAAAATCGTCAAATAAAAAACGTGGCATCATTTATGGATGACCCCATACTATTTAAAAAAAATTGTTAGAAAGATATTGCCTTTTTAACTCTAGAAAGAAAATGGGATCTTTTTTTTTCTAATAAATTCGCCTTGCCTGGGAAAGCCTCATAGTTTTTGTTTTTGTTTTTTTTTAAATTAC